CCCCAAAACCCCAAAACCCCAAAACCCCAGTCTGCCCAGAAATGCTTGGTAAGCAATAAATTATACTATAAAAATGAAGATTAATTTGCAATGGATTGATTAATTCTTTTAGTGCGATTCTTTATTACCAACTCACTGATGGGTCTAGATATCTTTACATTATTAATCCCTTAACTTATGGTAGAATCAAGTGCTTTCAACAAACTAATATTTCCTTGTCTGGAGTTGTATCAGTTATAGTCAATGGAGATCCTTATGTTTATATGTCAGGCGCTCATAACATGAAAGATCAGTGGTTTGTGGCAAGAGTTTAACCTAATAACTTTGAAGAGATAGAGTACTTTTCTGACTTTAACTCTGTTTGGTCCGATACTGCAGGATTTTTGCAGATTGGTTCAGGAAGCCCAGGAGATACTGTGCAGTATTTTCCAATATCAACTTCTGTCAACAGCAGTCCAGCTATCTCAAATACTAATGTTACTAGCTCTGTCGCTACTCAGAGCAAAAATCATGTTACCTTATGGTTAGAGGAATACTCCCAAAGTGTTAGGCCAAAAGAAAATGTAGCCATTAATGTCGACTGGCTTTGTGCTTCTTCTCAGAACATCACACAAATAAATTATGGATTGATTCAGGTAGAGAAAGAAATTCCTGATTGGATTCAGCTGGCTTCTGTATGTCAGACTATTTGGAATTAAGCACTTCAGCATGAAATTTTGAGTACTATGAAACTGTAGGTACACTTGAAGTGAACAAGACGACCCAATATCTCTTTGGAATATCCATTAAGTATGAAGGAAAATCTTATTCGAAAAATATTAGTTTGACTCTTGAAATTTGTGAAGTGTCAAAGTGTGACGACTGTTATCTTGGAAATACAACTAAATGAGAAGAATGTAACTTTGGATATCATGTTGATGAGGATACTTATCAATGCGAAGAGAATGAAGCCATGACAAGAAGTGTTCAGACTGCACAAGCTCTTATTGCAGCTAGCGTATCTATTTCTATTGCTACATATTTTGTATCTATGACATCAATGAAAGGAATATTTAGTGTTGTTAATAAATTTCAGCTTTTCATTCTACTTCCAATAATTCCTGAGTTCTTCCCAGAAGCTTTGCTTGTTTTTATAACAGGAGTGGATTTCACTCTGATATTTTTGATTTCGTCAGACTGAACGATGCTCCTTTTGTGCAAGATTTAAAGAAATGGGTTTCATTTCCTCAAAAGGATGCTTACATGAACGAAATCGGATTAATTTCTGGGAGTTCACTACTCAAATATTTATCTTTGATGACATTTTTAATTGCCACAGGAATCCTTCACTGAATTGTACTTTGAGTCTATTCATGAGCAAAGAATAAACTTAGAATAAGCAAGTGGAGAAAATTCACTGAAGCCATCTTTAAGTTCTTTACCTTCAATTTATATATCAGAATGATTATGGAGAGTTTCCTATTTATGAATTTATCAAATTTAAACGAGATCAGAAATTTCAACAAAAAGTATGGGATAACCATATTTTCGTTATGCTTGAGCTTAATTTTTTTAATTTCAATCACAATCTTCTTCGCATTAACAGTTTTTCTGTACTTCTATTCTGCTAAAAACACCAATCTTAAAGAAAAGTGGATGTATAGAGAACTTTTTACAGGATTCAAAGAAGGAAGATTTTCTCAACTCCATTCTGTCATGTTCATGCTAATCAGGTTCTTATCTGTGTTTATTATCATCATAATGAGAAATGCACCATACCTGTTGAAGTCAGGACTCTTCACATTAACCCATCTGATATGTGCAGCGTATTATATAATTATTCGGCCATTTGATCATGTAAAAGACAACATCACCGAGTGTTTTAACCAAGCAACTTATCTTGTGCTAGCAGCTTGCCTCTCGTTCTTAAAAGAAGAACATAATTGGTCGTCTACTTACGAGAACATGTATATGTACTTGTTTTTGGGGTCACCAGCAATTGGAGGGATAATCCAATTTTTGTAATTTCTGAACGACTTGAGGTAATTTTGAGCTTCACATAATTTTTGATTTTTGAACAAATTCTGAATCAAAATATCATTAAATATAGAAATACAAGAAAAAATCAAAAAGTGTTAAAGCCATAAGACTGAAGGAAACTATTGTTGCTTCTAAGATGCAAGCGTCTAAGAACAGCACTTATCATGCTATGGGAGACAGGAGTTCAGATGTAAGAAACGATTTTATTAGTTTTAGAAGAGCAAAATATCTATGCAGTCTAATGCTCTAATGATCAATTACGAACAAGAAGTAAGTTATAAATCTTGATAAACTTGCAAAAATTATATCTCTTAGTAATCTTGAGCTAAATATACCTGCATTCATTGGATAAATCTAATAATATTTAGGAGAACCCTCGTAATTTGAGCTCTTCGATAAATGGACAAAATATGAAAAGAATACTATCATAACTGAAACATTAAAGATTCATCAGATATATTTAAAACTTGTGAAACTTCAATTGGATATCTCTAAGACTTTAGTCCATGAATTCTCAATTTAAAATGCTAGATTCATACTAAATTTCCTTTAAAATCAAGCACTTAAGAGCATTTTATTCAACAACTAACCAATTCAAAACAATAAAACCAGGCTAATCATAAAACTGAATTAAATTCAGCCTATCATTCACACCACCCCAAACCCCTAAAATATATTTTCAACCCACCCCCATCCCCTTGGGGTTTTGGGGTTTTGGGGTTTTGGGGTTTTGGGG